ATAATTCTATACCATTTCTACGAAAAATTGTTTTCCCCCATATAAAATACATGGAAAACTTTGAGCGTTTTGAGCAACCCTTAAATATTTTTTGATTTCAAATAAAAAAATTGGGGTATATTTTTTCGCTATAGAATACCGACTTTACTTGTTTTGGACCACCTTAACGTACATACACACACGCCGAATTTATTTGCATTGATTTTATTACGATATTCGTAATGTTTTCATAATAAATTTTTTTTTGCTACTTTTTATAAAAACAGCGCATTCTGCAACTAAAACCATGTAAATCAAAATTTCAAACTTTGGAGATAATTAAGAAAAGTTCAGGAAATTTTCATCAAAATTTCAAAAAAATTCGAATATGCAGTTTTATAGCCCATTAAATTTTAATAGCCTTATTCATAAAAAATGCAGTAGCTTTATAAAAGGTTTATAAATTGAAAAATATATGAAAACGTCAATTTATAGGGCTTTTTAAACCTACTTTATTTTTTATGAATAAGGCCATAAGTTGATAAAAAAATCACGTTGATTTTTGATTTTTTTTTTTTGTAGACGATTTTTTTGTATGGTAGAAAATGCTCAACAATTACTCCGGCATCAATTGGGCACATGATTTTGAGATATTATCTGACTAAAGATCATAAAAAATCTGCGCGCTTCAAACTACTATTCTATTTCTAGGAGCACGGTCATTATCGAGTCAAAACGGGATCGGGATCTGGATGAAGGTAGCCACTGCAACCTAACCTAACGTAGGTGACCTTTACTGCAAGATTGTGCATTCCTCAGGGTTTTCGTTAGTTTGCTAGCATAACAGTATTCGTCTAAGTGATCGTGGCCATTCAAGTTACGGTCCCACTGTCATTGGAACGAAGGATGTATGTAGGTGGTCGTACCATTCCTGGCCAATTCGTCAGCTATTTATGCAATTACACTCAATATTCTACTGTCAATGATGATGTAATGTTCTACAGTCAATGAGGAAATTTCCACTTTCTATATTTCTATATCTATATTTAGCCCAAGTTGCTGTAAAACAAAACTTCTCCTCTAACTCTCAGTTCTAGTTAGGTTCAGTTTATGGCATTAGAAACGTCTGCCTTAAGAGTCCTGTCGTTGTGGTAAAACAACTTTGTATAAAAATCGTATCAGGGGCATAGTCTTTATATTAAGTATTTAAATACCGAGCCCTATATATATCTGAATAAACAATCAAAACCAAAAAATTTGTTTAAAGTTGCGTACATCTTTTTGGCGGTTAGGGCTCGATATGTTCCTTAATGAGTAAATAGTCTCCAGAATTAATTATTTGATCTTGGAAAAGGGCTCTTCGAAAGTCTTCGCCTATGTAGCTCCCATGAGCTGTTCCCTGATACCTTTGAAATGCAGATTTGTAGAGACTGGTGATGGCAAATAAACTAAAATCGGTTAATTGATTAATCGAAAGCATTCGATTATTATTTGCAATTTACCGATTACCCGGTCGTTTCGATTAAAATCGATAATAAATAAAAACTATTTAATAAGTTATAAAAACTCATTGTTTTATGAAAAGATACATATTTTGTTCAATTTTGGAAGCAAACGCTATGAATTCGGTGCGTAAATAATGGAGAAAACTAACGAAATAATAAATAAAAATCCATACCATCCCTTACACATCCCTTGACAGAATTATAAGCGCATTTTATATTATATATTATATTTTTTTATTAAATATTTAATTTTAGTAATTTTGTATAAAAATATAGTGTATTCTTTAATATAACCCATATGAGTCCACCTTTTTACAGTATTAAACAAAAATCAAACAAACTTTCGTAAAAATATCGAGCTTTTTAACCGACTTCCAAAGAAGTAGGGGGTGGTCAGTTCGTCGGAATATTTTTTTTATTTTTTCATTTTTTTTTTTACCGCATAACTTTGGACCACGTCAACCGATTTCGGTAACTCTTTTTGCATCGGAAAGGTAGTGTCTCAGATGTGGTCCCGTACTAATCTGGTTAATATCCGATAAGTGAATCATGAGATATATATATATTTTTTTTATAAGAGAATTGAAGTCGGTTTTTTTTGCTAAAAATTACTTGTTAATTAGCTTTCTTAGAAAGATTTTGAGTATGCAGTTCTATATCCCATTCAATTTTAGTACACTGAAGTCCAAGTTTGAAGCAGAGATGTAAAAAGAAACTTGTAAATTGTAGTCAATGAGAGAGAAAAATTTTACCTAAGAGGACACAAATGTACTTAGGAAATTACATATTACACATTTATACTCGTCGTCAAGTAAATACTTTTGATTATACCAGAATGTGAGGATAACCTGCCTATACCACGCCATGTCCAATCGACAGCATCCACATTTAAATAATAGCTTTGCATCCACTGAAAGTCTTTTTGACCATTCTTCTAACTAATTTTTTACGTCAAAATTGTCTATACAGGTCAGGATCGCGCATTCATTTAAGTCTTCATTTGTCACTAACGCGGATTCATCTGTGCGAGATCTCATAGCCTGCTTAAGAAAAAAGCTCCCAAGGTTAGATGGATATATCTGCAACTGTTTAGTATAACTGGCGGAACTTGGAGCAGGCTCAAAAGATTTTTGGTAAAAAGGATTTCTCTACGTAGTGAATGTTCCTGTAAAAGTGCTGAAAAAAGTACAACTATACCTACTTTTCCATCACTGGTTTAAAGTAGCCTAGACTTGCCAATGACGTTTTGCAATTTTTGTTGGCCGGCGGTGTTGCACATTTATTATTTATATATGAAAGCAACACCTTCAACTAAAAAAGTATCCAAAAATCAAAGGAATTGCTAGCTGTTATTGGGTGGTTAAGGCGCCGATTTTTCAATTTAGTAAATTTTTGATGGTTTCTTTACGATTATTTTGGAAATTAATTGGTTAATCGTACGATAAATCGAACGGAAATTTCCGATACAATTAAATCGATATTCGAAAATAACCTATTATACGATTATTACCTATTTTCCGATGCCAACACTAGTAGGAACCTTTGTTTTTTCTAACCAATTTTTAACTAA